TTCTAGGAATGATTTTTTTATTTGGGGTTCAGTCCAGCGACCCATATCACATACTGGTTTCATAGACCACCTCAGTCCTCTCCAATTTGCAGAAGTTCCTCAATCCATCCATCCATCCATCCTTCCTTCCTTCCTTCCTTCCTTCCTTCTTTCTTTCTTGTGGTTGGGTGGGGGATGGGGGGGAGGAGGTTCACAACCCATAGTGCTCTGAATACTTCTGGCTCTGTACTTAGGAATTGCTGCTGGTGGCTTAGGGACGCTGGGGATCAAACCTGGTCAAGCTGCATGCAAGGCAAGTGCCGTAACTGCTGTATTATCACTTTGGCCCAGTATTCTGTGATCACAGCACTTTGGAAGAATATTGGTTAGATATATATTGTAATTTGTCTTATACCCATCTTTTCTGATATGTTCTCATAGTTAACCTGAAATTATATGTTATTAGAAAGCATATCACTAAAATTAGTATTTTCCCCTCTTCTAACTAATAAGTATGTTTTGTTGGGGATGCTCGAGACTGCAATTCAGACTAAATTACTAACTCATATTTTGCTAATTGATCATTCTGATCCAAATTTAGTGGATTTTTCCTGCCAGAAATTGTTCTGGTATTCTAATATAATTTTCTGGGTTTTCATTCTTTTGTTTTTAAGTCACCTATTAATACTTGGGTGCTATTCCTGGCTTAGATTTTTGAGGGGGACCTTGTATGTGGTGCTAGGGATCAAATCCAGATCTCCTGTATGCAGAGCATATGCTCCAGTTCTTTGAGATTTCTCACCCAGTATTTTTTTTTTTTTGCTGTTTCTTTCTATTCTTTCTACATTAATTGGTTGGAATCTTTTACAAGGACTATTTGTATTATCTAACTAATCAGTATGTACTCAAATACAGTTATTTTATTACTTAGGGTATAGTCCTATTTTTTGGGGGGGTGGGGCACACCTGGTTGTGCTAAGGGCTTACTTCTGACTTTGCACTCAGGGATCACTCCTGGTGGTCTTGGGGGGAACATATGGGTTGCTGAAGATTAAACTCTGGTTGGCTGCATGCAAGACAAGTACCCTACCAGCTATACTGTCTCTTCAGTCCAACTCCTATAATTTTGTTGACCAAATTTTTCCAATTTGAGCATTGGTACTTTCTGGGGATTGGTTACTCTCTTGTATCCTTAAGGCATGGCCTTACATAATTTTTTCTTTTAGTATTTTCTTTTTGGTACTAGTGGGATGCTCCAGGCTCACTAGTAAGTCACATATTCAAGAAACTCTGATTGTTTTTACTGCATAGTGCTCACTACAGTCAGTATCTGGGTGTTTTGTGTAGCTTTTGCCTTATCTTTATTGTTAAAAAGCTTTCTAAAAGAGATGCCATGCTTAATCTTTTTTTGTTTTGCTTTGTGTTGGGGCCACACCTGGCAGTGCTCAGGGGTTACTCCTGACTCTGAGCTTGGGAATTACTTCTGGCAGTGCTCAGTGTACCATACAGGACCAGACGTGGGTCAGTCACTTGCAAGGCAGGCACCCTATCTGTTGTACTATCTCTCCAGCCCATGTCATGTTTAATCTGACAAATCTGTTAAAAAGTGATGTGATGACCAATTGAAAAATGTGGACTTATTTTTGCATTGAAAACAGTTTACGTTTTCAGTTTGGACTGCAGAATATTAGCGAGTCATTGAAGACCTAGTTATTAGATTTAGAATATGTCCTGTCTTTCAGATTGTGATGATGAGGGTGGAAGGGACAGAGAAATGGTACCAGGGTGAAGGAGTTTCCCTTGCCTGCCAAACCTGGTTATAGCCACAGTCCTGCATTTGTTCCTCTGAGCACTACCAGTAGTAGTCCCTTGGCACCACTGGGTGTAATCAGCGCTCCCCACAAGAAAAAATGTGGTTTATATGTGAGTAAATGTTTACGTCAGAGATGAAGACGAGTCTTTGTAGGAAAATCTATCTGTCAGGTCTGGGTTACTAGTAAAATTGTACAACAGACACATGCTGAGTCAGTCACATTTAACTGGACTGCATGTTAGGCATGAATTTTCCCCATGTGCAAGTGATACTAGCAGTAAATTAACTGGTATTCCTTCTCCTGGGACCATGTTTTTTTCCACACTGAGGTGGGAATATTAGAATATGTAGGGATGAGTGGCAGCTAGACTTACCTTTGAGAAGGATACTCCATTTAAGGCATTTTGTGGGTGCCTTGCACTTGGCCTAGCTGGGTTTGATCCCAGGCATCCTATATGTCCCCTCAACATATGGGATCCTTGAGTACAGAGTCAGGCGTAAGCCCTAAGCACTGCTGGGTGTGACCCAAAAACAAAAAAAAAAGCAAAAAAATAAAAAAACCCCAACATTTTGTAATGCTGTTTATATTAATATATGTCTACTGCTTATTCTGTGTATTAATAATAATTTTACTTAACATAGTAATATTTTAATGAGGCACTTTCCCCCCTATGATCTTGTGACCTTGTGGAATATTTATGCTATGTAATCAATTTTAGAATTAATAATTGTATCAAATAAAACTCTTGGCTTCTAGCCTCCTCTCACTTCTTTTAACATGGGAGGTTTGATACCAGAATCAGAATGACTTTAGCTGATGCTCACCATCCTCTTTTTATACATCTCAGCAGTGCCTGTGACTTAGGGTCAGGGAGATGCTTAGATTCTCTGTTGTTGAGAGGGAGGTCTTCAAGCTAGGAATGTCTCGATACTGGTAGCAGACCACAGTTGATTCCCATATGGGGGCAAGGAGCTAACTAATAGTGGTTACCCAAATTTATATTTAAACGTGTGTGTGTGTGTGTATGTGTGTGTGTGTGGTGTGCCATGAATTGAACCCAATAAAGGGCATGCACTACTGATGAGCCATATTTCTATCCCTAAACTTTTTTTTATATATAAAGTGAAATAATGTGGATAGATAATAAATTTAGTCTAATACCTAGCGATTTGAGCAGTCAAGATAGCAGGTCAATGATAGTACATCAGGTAGAGCATTTGTCTTGCATGTGGCCTTCCTGTGTTTGATCCCCCCCATCCCATATGGTCCCCCAAGTACCACCATGAGTAATTTCTGAATACAGAACCAGTAAAAACGTCTAAGCATCACCAGGTATGGCCCAAAAACAAAACAAAACAACAAAGAAAACAGAGAACATGTTAAGATATTTGACATTGGTCTTTTGTTGTTGTTGTTATTTAGTTGGGGGAGGGAGGTGTTATTTTGGTTTGTGGTTCACACCCCATACCCTAGGACCATATGGGGTCCAGAGGATCAAACTTGATTTGACCGCCCTGTTCACTGTACTATTTCTCCAACCCTTCTTTTGTAGTTTGAATAGAGTTTAATTGAGGTTTTAAAGGTAAGTATGAATTTACTCATCTTTTCTGATCTTGGGTACAGTGTGGACATTGGGCTATCTATAGCATATATAAAAGAATATTTTAATATATCAAAATAAACATTGAATAAAGTCTTAACAGTATATTAACAATTTTAGAATATTGTTTGATAGTATATTAGAATTTTCCCCCTTCACCCCTTCCTTCTCTCTGCTGCTATAGTTGTGATGATTGGGGGAGGGGGTGGTCACACATGTTTGATTGTAGTGCTCCCATACTTGACTGCGGTTTTCTCAGAGGCTCACACACTTTTGTTTGCAGTGCTTATATATGTGTTTGCAGGAAGTTGTACTCTTTAATTGTGGTGCTCAGAAAATTCTGGTTGTCGTGCTCTCTGGGGGTCTCATATATGCTGTGGTGGTCAAACATTTGTTTTTAGTTCTAGAGCTTACCAGGGGTGGTACCCTTTAATTGTGGTACTTGCGCACGCTGTTGTAATCCTGGGAGTCCAAACAGCAGAGCTCTATAAACCGTACTTGTGGAAGTCAGGAGGGATTGACCTCACAGCCTCAGACTTTCGCCACCAAGCAAAAATCTGGGGCCACTCTAGCAGAGCCTTGACCTGTTTATTTGCCTTAGAGGTTCACAAGCAGCAATGCTCAGAAACATAGAGCCTCTTCCAATAGAGCTCAGCCTCTGAGCTGGATACTTGGGGACCATATCCAGCATCCAGTCAGGCTATGTTCAGGGGGCCACAGGGCTACAGCTGGCAGCACTGGAGCTAAGGGTGAGGGCACACACATAGATGTGTTGCTCTACCGCTTTCACTAGCTCCTTTGACCTCCTGTAGATGTCTGGGGTTTTGGTTTGTTTGTTTTGGACCATATTTGGTGGTGAGGGCTGACTACTGGCTCTGTGCTCAGGGATCACTCCCGGTAGGGACCATGTGTGGTGCTGGGGATTAAGCCCAGGTGGACTGCTTGCAGGGCAAGTACCTTACCTGCTGTACTATCTCTCTGGCCCAGGTATTAACTCCTTAACAGAAAAATAATTTGTATATACTTTTCCCTTTCAGTAGTTTGCCTTTTTATTTTTTATTTTCATTTTTTGGTGTGTGCGATTGCTTGGTTTGGGAGCTATGTTTGGAAATGCTCAGGGCTTACTCCTGGCTTTGAGCTCAGGGATCACTCCTGTTGAGGCTTGAATCAACCACATGTGTCAGGGATCGAACATGGGTCAGCTGTGTGCAAGGCAGCTGACTCCCCGGGTTAAGTATCTCACTGACTCGACCTTTCAATTTTTTGATGATTGCGTTTGAAGACATGGTTCTTAAAATTCTGGGGCCAGAACAATAGGACAGTGGGCAGGGCTGTTGCTTGACCCGTGGTTGACCTGCGTTCCATCCCCAGCATCCCACATGGTCTCCTGAGTACCGCCAGTAATTCCTAAAAGCAAGCCAGAAGTAACCTCTGAGCATTGCTAGGTATGGGACATAAACAAACAAACAAACAAACAGGCAGACAAAAATGGCTCTTAAAATTTTACACTTTGATCTTAGCCAACGTACCAACCATTTTAAAAGTGCTTATTAATGTTTATAATATACACTCAATATATTTGTCTAATGCAGCTTCCTTTCTTCTAGGTAATTTATCCTCAACATTCCAAACTTACTGATAAAGAAGTAAGTAAAAATACTGCTCTGCATGGTCAGCTGTTTTGTTTGTTTTTTTTTGGTGTGTGTGTGTCAGCATATATAGCTTTTGTTTTCTTTTTCAGAAAACCAATATTTGCTATTTGTCTTTTCCAGATTCAAATTCAGGTAACTACTATTTTTCATATGGCGTTTATTAAATTTCCTACTCAGCGTTATCTTCCGTATACAAAAATCGATTGAAATATCGTATTAGAATGCAGACTCAATTTCAGTCTAACAGGTGATTTTGGTTTCTAATTTAATGATACTTAGTCATGTGTTGTGATTTAAGGTGGTTTAGCTTTTGAAAAGCTGTTTTGAAGGACACAAAGCATCAATGAATATTAAACAGTTGAAAATGGATAGCGATTAGAAATCAGTGACATTGGTATGTTAGGAGATTTATGGTAAGTACTTTTAATTTGGAATTTCGCCAGAAACTCTGTAAAAGCAGTCAGTTAGGCAAACATGTAGCAACAGCATAAATCTGATTATGCATTATGGCTACCAATTATTTGCAAGTGTTTATATGAGTCAGTATATGTAAAACACTTGGAATACTGCTTGGTGTATGTGAAACACCATGTAAGTGTTTACTATTATTAAGCTTGGTTTTTCTGGTCTTCTTCAAACTCTCACTGTGTGTGGTCTTAATTGTTGAAATCTTTCAGGATACCCCTTTATTTCGCTTTCAAAACAATTTTTTAAGCCTATAGTGACCAGAGTGTTCAGCCTCTCAGACCACACACCGTCAGATCCTAAGAAACAAAGACACTTTAATTCTTTCTTTTTTGTGGTTAATTCGACTTAGTCTGATTAGGAAGATTTGACATATTAATTTTCAAAAGCATTTTCTTCTTGACATTAGAAAAAATTTTTTTCCTTATATGTAGTTCTAGAGTTTTTTCCCTATCCATTTGAAATCCAGCATTTATGAAGTAAAAGAGAAGTGATATCTTCATTTTAAAATAAAAAGATATTGAGAGATCTCAATAGGACTCTCATTCTAAACTGGAATTACTGGAATTTTTTTAGCACATTTTGCCTAGTAGTGAAATAATGTCAGAGACATCTTATAGGATCTATCCTCATTTTAGTTAATGTTTTCCTTACGAAGTCTGAACATGCATTTGTTAATGTTAATGAGTGTGGGATTGGACTTCCAGGATGTAGGGTAAACCGAATTGTTTGGATTGCAGTATGAACTGACTTTCGTCTTTCAGATCAATTGGTTTTTGTGGCTCTTTTCTACCCGCCCTTGGCTACAGGGTTTTAAGGCTAAAAAGATAATCGTTGGTGTCTGAATAGCCTTTTTTTATTTCAAATTTTGACGATTTTTGGAGGGTTAGGGGCCCACACCTGGCCGTGCTCAGGAGGTACTCCTAGCTCTTCATTCAGGAATTACTCCTAGTGGTGCTTAGGGGACTCTATGGGCTCTTGGGGAACCCCGATAAGCCCCGTGCAAGGCAAGTGCCCTACCGGCTATACTATCTCCGTGGCCCTATTTCTAGTTTTTAAGTTAGGCTTATTATAATGTCATTTAAAAATTCTCCTTTCCTCTGTTGATGGACTTGCAATTACAAGGTGGTCACACTCGGGGCACTCATCAGGAGTTGCACATAGAGTTGCAGTGCTTGTACACATGCTGGTTGAGGCCCCACCCACAGGTTGTTGTGGTGCTCACACATCTGCTTGCTGGGGAACATACTCTTGGTAGCTGTGCTTGCGTATGAAGTAAAATAGCTTAATTCATAGAAATTTGGTTAGAGAAGTGTGAAGGGAGAGGAAAAAAAGAGATGTGTTCGAGATTATGGGCTTCTCTAGATGGGGACAAAGCCTTGTTTATCTTGTTTTGTTTACAGCGAGAAATCACTTGTGCCTCTCGGGATCTCAGCTTGCAGAGCCGATGGGCATAAATGGCAGACACACCACGACTGTGTTGGTGCTTTTGGTGGCTTCTAGGTTAGGTGCCGTAGCAGATGTAGCAGTCAGGGTCTCAAACATAGTAGGCATGTATGCTGCACATGAGCTGTCCTCAGCCCCGTAATGCCTATTTTTATATGCTGCACATCAGGTCAGGTATTGTTTTTATTCAAAGTAGAGCTGGTAACTTTTAAGTACAATCCACGAAAGATTGTAAAGAAGTCAATCTTGCCATTTTAACAGATAAATACGAATCCAGGTAGCTGGGGACGGTACATTTTGTATTTGAGATCATTGTTTATCCAAATAGTTTGTTTTACTTACAAATTTATTATATGGAAGTTTGAATTACTCTGCCTACTTTGAAATGAATTGAATTTTTCCCAAAGTAGCTCCTGTTGTTATGCAATGAAATCGAGGTTCAGTAGAGAACTCATTAGGAAAGAGTCATAATCTAGGTTTGGTTTTGTTTCATGCTGGGACCGGTGATGCCGGTGATGCTTAAGGCATCTTCTGGCTCTGACTCAGGAATCATTCCTGGAGGTGCTCAGTAGATGCTGGGATTGAATCTGGGTAGGCTCTGTGTAAGGCAAATGCCCTGCCCACTGTATGACTATAGTTTGTGTTAAGATCTGTAGAGAATGAGTGAGATTCCCAATGGAATGATTTGCAAAATTCTTCATCTCTTTCCCTCCCAGCTTAAATATAGTTTAGGCTTGGTAACTTTAAAGAGAACTGATTTTGTTTGGTTTGTTTTATATAGCCATTTGTTGTTTCATTTGGATGGTTTTTATCTTCAGGAGACTAACTTTGAAGTGTGCCCTTTTTTTCTGATAAATGTTTGTGACATTTGTTTTTATTTTTTTTCATTATTTGTTTTTGTTTTGATTTGTTTTTGTTTTTCATGAACAACATCTAGTAAAGGTGTTCCTGAAACATAAGTTCAAGGGCTATAATCTCTATTTTAAGCATGTCCGGAGAGAAAATTTAGCATAATAGAGTTTCAAGCATTGATGACAACATAGAAAGATTAGTCTTTGTCTTGGGTTGATTTGATGTAAATAGAAAATATTTGTCTCAACAGATTTCTTGTGCTCTTTGTGGTGGTACCACAGTGTGTCAGGGATTGAACCCAGAACTGTCGCTGAGTCACATTCCTGGCCTGAGACTAGTTGGGTTTTTAAAAATTGTAAATGTAGGGGCTGGAGCAATAGCACAGCGGGTAGGGCGTTTGCCTTGCACGCAGCCAACATGGCCGACACAGGTTCGATTCCCAGCATCCCATATGGTCCCCCGAGCACCGCCAGGAGCAATTCCTGAGTGCATGAGCCAGGAGTAACCCCTGAGCATCGCTGGGTGTGACCCAAAAAGCAAAAAAAAAAAAATTGTAAATGTAAGGCCTGGAGTGATAGTACAGCAAGTACCAACCGCTTGCCCCATATGTGACTGAACCAGTTTCAGTCCCCAGCACCCCATATGGTCCCCATGCCACTCCCCACAAAATATTACAAAACCTATGTGTGAACCATGCTTTTGTAAAATGCATTTTAAATGAATTAGAAGCATGAGAAGGAGGAAAAAATGCAAAAGAACAAATTTATCACAATAATATCAGAGTGTCATACGATTTTCTAAGTACTTGGTTGTTTTTTTGTTTTGTTTTATTTTTTTAATTTGGGGGGTCACACCAGGCAGTGCTCAGGGACTAACTATCCCTGGGACTGTGCTCAGGCATTGCCAGGATTTGAATCAGGGTCATGGTTACAGCCACAAGCAAGGCAAGCAAGCATCTTTATATCTCTCTGACCTCTGTATTTATTTTGATAAGGATCAGTAACAAGAGTTTGTGGACTAAGTATCCTTCAGTTTATGGACTGTGGGAAACTCGTCTGAAGCCCTGCCTCACCAATTCCAGGTCAGCTGCACTCGGCATAGAAAGACTCCACAGAGCCTAAGGCCGAGGAATGGGTCTGTCTTCCGAAGTCTCAGGTTTTACCTTGTTCTTATGCATTATGATCTATTACGTACGTTTTTGTGCTATGAAATAATCTTTAAAGTTGTTTTCTGTTTTTTTTTTTTCTAATTTAGATTTTGTGTATGCTTTTTCGGCCCCTACCTAGTGTTGTTCAGTGCTTATTTCTGACTCTGCTCAGAGAGGACTCCTGGTGGAACTCTGGGTATAGTTCGGAGTGTTGGGATTCAATTCTAAGTCAGCCGTTTGCAAGGCCACGCCAACTCTCCCGCTGGCACAGGACTTTTGTTTTTATTTTGCTTTGTTTGGGGGCCACACGTGGCGGTGCTCAGGGCTTACTCTTGACTCTGAATTTGGGATCACTCCTGGCGGATGTGGAGAACCATATGAAGTTCTGGGGATTGAACTCACATTTCCTGCTAGCCAGGCACGTGCCCTGCCCACTGTACCGTCAGTTGGGCGTGGGACTTTTCTTTTTGAGTAAAGAAAAACAATCTTCAATGTATGCTTCAATTGACAATGAAGAAGCATTTCAAATAATTTTATAGGGGGCAGAGAGACAGCAGGTAAGGTGCTTGCCTTGCATGCAGACAATCCGGGTTTAATCCCTAGCACCGTCAATGATCTCCTAAATCCCACCAGGAATAATGCCTTAGCATAGAGCCTGGGTGAGCCCTCAGCATAGCTGAGTGTGGCCCAAAAACCAAGAAAAAGGAAAAGAAAAGAAAAAAGTTTTATGGGTTCTAGAAATACAGATAGGAGCTAGGGTGCTTGCTTGATCCTAGTTCCTATCTGCAGCACTAAAAGTGGTTCCCTGAGCACTGCCAGGGGTTATTCTAGAGCACAGAAACAGGAATGACCCCCTGAGCCTTTGCAGGATGTGGGACAACCCCGGCTCCAATAGTTCTATGAAGAAACAGTTAACCAGGTAAAGTGTGTGCCCAGTTACATGATTTTTAGTATATTCAGAGAGTTGTACAACTCTCATCACACTTAGTTTCAGGAAAGATTGCTCACTCAAAAAGAAACTGTATTCCTTTTCCCCACTCTTCTTCCTCCCTCGCCAAGCCTTACGGCAGCTGTTGCCTACTTTTTGTTTCTAGGAGATACCTGTTCTGAATGTTTCACTGCAGTGAAAGAAGTGCCTTTGACGTTTATTTTTATTTGAAAAAGTCAGTGTGTTGTAGTGGTCAAAAACCTAAACCTCAAAATTCGACATGCCTTGCGCACGGCCAACCTGGTTTCCATCCAAGCAAGCATGGCCCTCCAAGCCCTGCCAGGAATAATTCCTTGGTGCAGAGGCAAGAGTTATGGAAGGTGTGACACTCCTTTCCCTATCCCACCCCAAAGAAATTTCACATTGTGAAATAGAAAACACAAGCAAGTTCAGTAGAATTTTTTCTAGCACCTCAAAAGCCTTGTCATGTCCTCCCAAGTACTATTTCTACACTCTTCCTAAAGGTAATCTGTCTTAACTCCTAGAGTAAGTATTACTTTTGTAGTTGTTTTATCTATCTGGAAAGAAAAAGTCTCAGTGAGCCAAGTGTTTGCCCTGCACGGTAAGGACTTGGTTTTGATTCCTAGCACTGGATGGTTCCCCCAAGGACCCGACTGTGGCTTCAAAACCAAATCCACCATTTAAATGGGTTCATACAATGTGTTCTTTTACATGTAACTTATTTGCTCTTTATGTCTTGAGTCAGTATTTCATGCAGTTTTCAAAAATATGTAATTACGTGACGAAAATGGAAAAGGAAAAATTGTAAGGGGATTGAAGAGTTAAGGTGCATGTTTCACTGATGCATTTGCCTCTAGCTAGCAGAGATGACTTTGAGCGAGTCAGCTGAACTGTCAAGATCTTCTTTTTGTTCTCTGAAACATGACAGACTGGTTTAAAATGATTGCTAGGACTTTCCTTCAGCTTTTAGCATTTGGTAAAACTGGATGATTAAATGTTATATTATGCTGTCTTTAATTTCTTTCTGTCTCTCTTTTTATTAGGTTGTCTTGGAGATACCCAGTTTTGTTTTAGATTTCGGCAGTCTTCTGGGAGAAGGGTGTCACTGCATTGTCTCCTGGACCAATTTGACAAAGATTTACCAGTTTTCTTAAAGGTTGGAAAAGTCGTAATAGAATATAGAGTGTGAGAGGAAACGTTAGAATTCAGCTATTCGGGAGTCAGGGATGTAGCTCAGTGCCAGAGCCCTTGCCTTGCATACGTGAGGCCCTCGGTTTGTAGTTTTCCGGTTATCTCTTCTGGCACTCGGTAATATTTTAATTTTATCACCATATTATACAACTTGATTTTCTAAGTGACTCTGATTCATGAGGATGCAGGACATATTTGAAAGAGTTTATAAAATTGTTATTTTTGAAATTTAATGCCAGTATGAGTTATAGAAACTCATTAGAACATTTCATTTAGTAATAACTTCAGTGGAAGTAGGGTGGTGTTTAGAGTTGAAGATTTCTAGAAGTAATCCCGTTCTGCCTTATGACACAGTTACAGTAATGACAGTTTTTGCTTATTTTTAATCGTATTTATTTATAGCTATTGTGTATTAAAATTTTGAACTTGGGGACCAGAGCTGTAGTATTCCAAGTAAGACCATTGGCCTTTGAGGCCAATGAGGTTTGTGTCTGGGCATCCCCATATGGCCCCCTAAACCCTGTTAGAAGTGATTCTTTTGTTTTTTTTTTTCTTTTTGGGTCACACCCAGCGATGCACAGTGGTTATTCCTGGCTCATGCACTCAGGAATTACTCCTGGCGGTGCTGGGGGAACCATATGGGATGCTGGGAATTGAACCCGGGTCGGCTGCGAGCAAGGCCAACGCCCTACCCACTGTGCTATCACTCCAGCCCCTAGAAGTGATTCTTGAGTGCACTGCCACGAGTTAGCCTTAGGTCTTAAGGCCACACACCCAGTGGTGTGGCCCAAAACCAAATAAAACACAAACATTTTAAAAATCTAGCCCGGCAAGCTACCAAGAGTATATTTGATATGCCAGACACAGTAACAAATGTCACAATGGAGACGTTACTGGGCCCGCTCGAGCAAAGTCGATGAACAACGGGAGGACAGTGACAGTGACAGTGAATAATTCAGATAATTTGACTGTATAGGTTTATGTTTGGCATTGAACACTTAATTTCTAATTGCACGGAGAACATTTATTTCCATTAGGATGTCCAATTAGTACATCCCATATGGAAGTGACACTGGATTTTTTTGTTTTGTTTTTGTTTCTGTTTTTGGGCCACACCTAGAGGTTGCTCAGGGCTTACTTAAGCTACTTCTGGTGGGGTTAGGGAACATATGGGGTGCTGGGGATTGAACCTGGGTTGGACATGTGCAAAGCAAGCACCCTACCAGCTGCACTATTGCTCTGGCCCTGGACTTGACAGTTTGCTTAAAGTCAGCATTTATGATTTACCTTTCTGGCTTCACTACTGATAGATACCCTCTCTTTGAATTGTATATTATAATAATCTATTCCTTTCCATGTCTTTGTACTGCACTATTAACAAATTCTTTCAACTATTTAGAACTATTTATAAGACATATTATATTTATAGAAATATAAGAATATTTTTCACTGGAGCGATAGCACAGCGAGTAGGGCATTCGCCTTACAAGCGGCCAACATGGCCGACCCGAGTTTGATTCCTCCGCCCCTCTCGGAGAGCCCGGCAAGCTACCGAGAGTATTCGATATGCCAGACACAGTAACAACAAAGTCTCACAATGGAGACGTTACTGGGCCCGCTCGAGAAAATCGATGAGCAACGGGAGGACAGTGACAATGATTAAAAATCGTATATTATTTCATTTGTCTTCTTTACAATATTCTGAGAGTTCCTTTTGCAGATACAGTATTGGGGGCTTATTAAGGAAAAGGAATTTTTCCCAGGATTATCCCAGCTCTTGAATTTCCAATGTAGTATATCTTGCAAAGTGTGCTAAAGTGTGCATCTGTATTATATAAAAAAAAAAATTAGAATCTGAAATCACTACCTCTTGTTTAGTGAGTAAAATTTTAATGATAGTGTTAATTGACTTTGGTACTATTTTCCTTTTGCCTTTCCCAATAAGATCTTTAGCTTTCTGGTTTACAAAGTTTTGCCTTCTTTCTATACGTGTCATCATTTAGCCAAATCGAGCTGTGTTTTTCTCTCTGAGATAACTTGTGTGTTTCTGTCTGAGGTTTAACTCATAATCTTTTGGATACCCTGACCTTGTACAAGTGAAGCATGTCTGAACAATCGAGCTACTCTTCTCGACCCCTGCTCTCACTCCTGACCTCTAACCCTGGAGTAGCTCATCTTTGTTTAAATCCTGTTTGTTCCTCAATACACGATTAAAAACAGCAAGCAGTTTCCACGAAATCTTGATTGATCTCCATAGACAGGCAATCTCCCTTTGGACTGTTTTGTGACACGGTGCTTTTTTCATACTGTCAGCTCTCCTTTGACACAGTCACTTTTGTACTTTTTTATCCCTTTTAGACTCTGATCTCCTTAAGGAACAATGTCTTACTTATCTTTTTACCCTCTCTAGCACAATGCTTATTCAAAGTAGTGTTATTAAGTGCTTGTTTAAAGAATAGAAGTAAAAGAAAAAACTGAGCCTAGTCTATTTCATTAAGATGGAAAAACTTCTTAGGATTTACGTAGCTGCTGCTTCAAATTATATGTTGGTAATCAGTGTTTTTTATTCTAGGGAAATATAAATATAAATATAAATATAAATATAAATATAAATATAAATATGTAGATTCAGAATGGGCTGGAGCGATAGCACAGCGGGTAGGGCGTTCGCCTTACACGCGGCCAACATGGCCAACCCGAGTTCGATTCCTCTGCCCCTCTCAGAGAGCCCGGCAAGCTACCGAGAGTATTCGATATGCCAGACACAGTAACAACAAAGTCTCCAATGGAGACGTTACTGGGCCCGCTCGAGCAAATCGACGATCAACGGGAGGGCCTTAAAAGATTCAGAATGGAATTTAATTTTCTAAAATCTTACTTGAAATTATACATTAGGTCACTCATTCTGTTAAAACTGACCCCTAATTAGTATTAAACTCAAAGTTGTGAGCAGAATTTTATATATATATATATATATATATATAGAGAGAGAGAGAGAGAGAGAGAGAGAGAGAGAGGGAAGTCATAGTAATAGTACAGTGGTTCTTACCTTGCATGCGACTAACCCGGATTTGATCTCTGGCACCTAATATGGTCCTCTGAGCCCCATCAGGTGTGATATCTGAGCACAGAGCCAGGAGTCAGCCCTGAGTACAGCCATGTACAACTTCTCTGCAGCCCCCAGAAATAGGATATAAGTTGAGTAAGCCATAAGGGAAATGAATCTGACTCAAGTATTTCCATTATTGTTTTGTTTTGGGCATGTTAGCAAGTTTTTTCTGGTGTTTATTATTATTGTTGTTTTATTGAAGAAAAAGTCTAAATAGTTCCTTTGTATATGCTTATGTCTCATTTTTGTTTTAGAAAAAACTTGATTCTAATATTAAAGAATGGCAATAAATATTTACTTTTTGTCACTTTCATAGAAGGATCCTGCTTATTTTTATGGATATGTGTATTTCCGTCAAGTTCGAGATAAAACTCTAAAAAGAGGCTATTTTCAAAAGGTAATTTTTATCTAGAATAATAAAAATAAAGTATTCTATGTATTGTGGTTAGAAGAAGAGATACTGTTCAAATAAAGTTTTCGATATTTCATCACTAAACATACTAGAATTATAAATACCTGATTTTTACCTGCTATTGGGTTTTGCCTTTCTTTTATCTCTGTGATAGATTCCTGATAATAATTTGCAGTTATTGTAGAGACTGTCAGAAACCAGAAGAATTAGTTTGTAGGGATAGTACAGGGGTTAAGGCTCTTACCTTGAATGTGGCTGATCCCACTTTAATCCCTGGATCCCCAGCACCACATTCGGTCCCCTGAGCACAGAGCTTGGACAGAATTTCCGAGCACTGTTCTCAGGTGTTGCCTCAGAACCAAACAACCAGAAGAATCCACATTGTTTTTATATTTTAGAACTAGGGAAAGGACAAACAGTTTATAAATTTTTATAACATAAAAGTTCTGTAGTATCTTTTTTAAAGAGCCAGTGAATGTACTTTACCAGTACCTTATAAGACTGATACACTGCCGACTGTGCTAAGAAGGCAACTTTAACAATATCAACCATAACTTCCTACTCTAAATATATAATCTTTTTCTTAAAAAAAAAAAAGCCGAAAGAGCAGTGGGACACCCAGCATATGACTGAGCAGTGGAACTCATGCCCAGCATGTGTGAGACCCTAGATTTGATCCCTGGTTCAGGTTTTTTTTTTTTTAATTGTTTCAGTTAAATTGACCTGTGAAAGACGAAAGACTCATCCTTTTTTGAAGTGGAGCAGGAGTGTGTGCCTGCTCAGGCCCTACTGTAGTGCCGGAGAATCCCAGGCCACCCCAGCAGTGCTAGGAGAATTCAGGACCACGTCTGGATTGCAGCCCTGGTGTGGCCTTCTGGGCTGCAACCTGGGATGTTTAGGGAACCAGGTGATGCCAGGAATTGAGTCCCGTTATGCACCCTAAACAGTGTACTAACTCCTGGCCTCCATGGATACATCTTTACTTCCTGTAGGCAGAATGTGTCCTGATTACTAATTGGTGTGGGATAGAAAAGTAGGAAGTAATTTTCAATAAAAAAACAAAACCACTAAATTAACAATCTGATGTGATCAGACTATGTGGTTACAGTTTCTAATATTGTGACTATGATAGTTGAACTCTAGATTATAAAGTCATAGGTGTTAGTTTAGAAAAAATTCACAGTTTTGTTCTTAGCAGGAAAGGTTCATCTGGCTAATTTCTGAGGCTGCATTGCTAACAACAATAATAGCTAGATTTTGGAAAATTGTCCATGACAGTCTGTCTATAGAAAATTTTTTCTGGAGAGGAGGAAAATCTATGAATATGCTTTTATGTGTAATAATACAAAAGTTTTCACAGTGGTAACTTTGTTTTCTTTCAAAATACACTATGAAAGCTTTAAATTTAAAAATTCATGTTTTTTTTTGCTGAATTTAGATGATTTATAACTGATTAAGAAATGACAAACTTTAATTATAACAATTTTGGGACTTAGAAAAACTTCTTTTTTTCCTTCTAGTCCTTGGTTTTGATCAGTAAACTACCGTATATTCATTTTTTTCACACTGTGCTGAAACAGATAGCACCAGAGTATTTTCAAAAGAGTGAACCATACTTGGAAGCAGGTAAGTTTAAAAGAATTGTGTGCATTAAGATACCTTTATGAAGGACTTTTAAGGAATTTGCTAATAAAAATGGAGTTGAGGAACTGGGGACATGCTGAATGGTGGAACACATGCCTTGCATGTGTAAGGCCCTGGGTATGAACTCGGTACCTTACACACACATGAAAAATAGAAATTGACTTTTAAGAAAGAAAGATAGTTAAAGGTTTGTCCAGGTATATGGCTCAAAGGACTGGAGCTTTTGCTTAGCATTCAGAGGTCCATGTTTCAACCCTGGTGGCCCCTAGTAGTACCACTGAGGAGAACCCCCTGCAAAACGGAAAACAGAAATTAAATATTAGAGTATTAGATATTAAGAGAGAGAGGGAAGACCAATGTGAATCTTTTACCAGGTACAATAAAGATGGTATCCTTTGTTATTACAGATGATTTCTATTTATTGTGATAGTCATGAACAAACATTGAGTTGGCATTTCTAAGAAAGGACAGTTGAACAGAAATCCTTATATTACTCAGTGCAGTGGGAATACCTCTATGTCCTTTTGCAGTTAATTTTAGTAATACGAAATGAATAATGGGCCAGAGTGATAGTTCAGTCAGGAGTGATTCCTGAGCACTGCCAGATATAGCCCCCAAATCATAAACAAACAAAAAGAGATGAGGAGAGTTTCATCATTTTATTTCTTTGGTCTTGGGGTCACAATCAGTGATGCTGAGGCTTACTCCTGGTTCTGGAGTCAGGAATCACTTCTGGTAGTGCTCAAGAGAACATATTGGGTTCCAGGATTGAACCCGGGTCAGCTGTGTGCAAGGCAAGTGCTCTGTCCACTGTAGTTTCACTTTGGCCCCAGGAAAAGTCTCTTCAAACCTATTCTTTTCTATTAAAAAAATCACTAACCAGTTTATTTCTTAGAACTCAGGTAAATTTCTGTTGAAATGTAAGATAGTTTCACTACTTTGTGTCTTCCATTCCTAATATGTTTTTTTATGCTCTGTAGAAAAAGTTGTGATTTCTAACATCTCTCTTCCATATTTTAACATTCCCATTACTCTAAGGAAATAATTTTTGGTATTTTCAGCTTGCAATGATATTGATCGATGGCCCTCCCCAGTACCAGGGAAAACATTATACCTGCCGATTATGGGAGTAGTAATGAAGGTAATAGCTTATTACTGCTTTATCTAAGTTGATAGATGTGAGGACTTACAGAGGTATCACAGTTCAGTCTGCTGCACTGAACCACTGCTCACCCAATCTGGTGGCCGTGTGTCCCTTTTCATCATGTAATGAAGGTGTTATCCTCATGTAATGCACGTGAACATTAATGCTCTGTTCTCAAGTTCTGCAACTCTGTGTCTCTCCCAAGATGTGCATCATGCAGAAACAGAGCATAAATCAGTACAAATTAAATTTGAAAAGCCTTTGGGTTTTATTTCCTTAATATTCTTCTTTAATATGTAATATGAGAACACGGTGTCCCATGATATTATTCACTGTTTGGCTTTCTGTTTGTTTTTTTGGGGCCACACCCAGCAAGTCTTGGGGCCACTTCTGACTTTGTGCTCAGGGGTTGCTCCCAGTGGTTCTCAGGGGACCATGTGGTGCCTGTTACTGAGCTCGGGCCTCCTGAATGCAAAGTATGCACTCGACCCATTGAGCATTTTTCTCTTCAGCATTTTTCTGTCTTAGAAACATGATAAGTGTTTCTATGAGTGTTCTAAATGTTTTTACAGTTCAAGTTATATTTATTTTTTATGATATTTTATCATTATTATTATTATTATTTGCAAAGAACTTTCCCCCTTCCAGTTTTCCCTAGGAAATCTTTAAAAGTACTACTAGTAACTTGGGGTTAGCATTCTCACGGTTTTCTGTGAAATTTATCTGTTTGGGAGGGTGTGTTTGGGTGTTTGTCATAATGGAGCAAAGATGGGAACAGTAAACAAGCAGTTTAAGGCTGATTGTCCTTTCTCTGTTTTTCAGCACCTTTGCCCCTCAGTAGACTGATGATTTCTATATGTCTGGGAGTATGGACAACTTGGCTATCTTACCTTCTGCCATGACTAAAAAGAAGTGCTCTCTATTTTTAATCTGGTGTAATTATTTTGGGTTTCGTTTTTGCTTGTTTTGCCTTTTAGTCATAATGGGGTGTGCCTTTTTGAGTCAGAATTATGTGTTTCTGATTCCTCATTATAGTGGGACTTACAAATGATAGAAAGGATATTCATTTGTGGCCGAAATTCATTTCTCTCTTTTCTGTTCAAGGTACGGATTCCCACATGCAATGACAAGCACGGGACGACTCAAATAGCGCAGTTAACTCAGCAGGTAGTGTGGTGGTAGGGTAATTCAGTACAGAGAGTTTCTCTATCTCTTTTATTTTTGAGAGGGGGTGCGGGGGGAACCTCCCAAGCAGTACTTAGAGAAATGTGGACACTCCCAGTGATACTTAGCTAGACAGGCCAGTGCTTCAGTGCAAGGGGCCTAAGGATTTGGCACTGCTCGGGGCTACACCTCGCCATGCTCAGGAGGCTGGGTGGTGCTGGGGAGGAACCATGAAGTGCCCTGGATTAACTCAGGCCTCCCATGTGTTATCTCTTTAACAGAATTTTTAAACTAACAGATGCAGAATTCCTTGAATTTTTAATTTTGTTGTGACTATTTCTGAAATAGTCCATTGAATAAGTTTTAATTAATTGATAATACACTTCCTATTTCTTTGATTTAAAAAAATTCTTTATGTGGGCTGGAGTGATAGTTCAGTGGGTAAGGTGCATGCCTTGTGTGCAGCCAACCTGGGTTCAGTCCCCACTACCTCCTATGCTCCCCTGAGCACAGCCAGGTGTGATCTCTGCTGGGGAAGAGTAAGCTGGGATTTCGCAAAAACTGAAAAAACATAAAAATTAAGAAATTCTATGTCAGATACTGAGATTATGCTCTAATTGCACCGGGAAAATAAATACTTTTTTTAAAAAAAATCTTAGAAGCATCTTAGCAAACTTCTACATATAGGGAATACTTCCATTCAATTCCAAGTGAAAAACTCTACCCCCCACCTATTAACAGATACAGCTCAGCAAAAAATAAAAGGGAATCATAATTACATATTCCTTTTTCAATGTGCTTCTTCTAAGCAGAAGTTTACAAAGACCTTCCTTTGGCTGATCTTGGAGAAAAATACTTTGAAAAGATAGAGTTGGAGAGATAGGTCAACAGGCTGAGTGTGTGGTTTGCATGCAGGGGCTTGGATTCAGTCCTCAGCACCACATAGTCCATGAGCACTGCAGAGAGCAACCCTTGAGCACAGAGCTTGGAGTCACTCCTCAGCACTGCTAGATGTGCCTCCCTCACTCCCACAAATATAGAGTAACATTTAGCTATTTCGTGATAGTCTTTTTTATTTTTTAAATTTATTGATGTTGGTTTGGGGGCACCCCTGCAGTGCTCAAGGCTTACACCTGGCTCTGTGCTCAGGGATCACTCCTGGTGGGCCTTGGGGACCATATGGGATGCTGGGATTGAATCTGGGTTGGCTGTGTGCAAGGCAAGTACCCTGCCCACTTTACTATTTCTTCAGCTTTGGCGGTAAATTTTTAAAATTAACATGCACATTTTGACATTTCTGTTTTTTCTTTTAGACAGACAAACATATATCTGTTGTTTTACCCACTGTTCACGAGGTGGATCTTTTCAGGTAAATCATAAAAAGCTTCGTAAATAGCCTCTTCTTTTTTTGCTTTGTGATAGTGTTATCATTTTTTTTTTTTACAAAATGAATGTTCTTATATAAGATATGAGGAAATCTGGAATAGAGTAGTCATTCTCCTTCATAAGTTAATTTCTTGGCTGCATATTATGAGTTTTGACAATAAGGGAAACTTGAATGGAGATTGGGAATTATGTGATAGAAACAATTTTGGTTTTGGTTTGATGTAGTATAGGAGCAATATTATGGTTTAAGAAAACATAAAGGTAAAGGTAAAGGCCCTCCCGTTGATCGTCGATTTGCTCAAGCGGGCCCAGTAACGTCTCCATTGGAGACTTTGTTGTTACTGTGTCTGGCATATCGAATACTCTCGGTAGCTTGCCGGGCTCTCCGAGAGGGGCGGAGGAATCGAACTCGGGTCGACCATGTTGGCCGCTTGTAAGGCGAACGCCCTACCGCTGTGCTATCGCTCCATGCATTTATATTCGACTGTGAGTGTGAAAAGGTCGGACTACAGCTGAATCTTACAAAGACAGTGTTTATGAGTCAAATTTTATTTGCTTTTATGTGGATAAAAAGGATATACATATCACATATATCATGATATTCTAAATGAGTTTGTATGTCTGATAAAGTTACAAGCAGCTAAAGAATTTTTGTTTAGGGGTTTTGGGCCACATCAGGTGATTTTCAGGGCATACTGCTGGCTCTGTGCTCAGGAATTACTCCTGGTGGTATGTAAAGAGGACCATATATGATGCTGGGAGTTTGAACCTGGTCACTGATTCAAGCCTGGGTTGGCCGTGTTCAAGGCAAGTGGCTATCCCTGTACCATTAATCCAGCCCAAGCTGGAAAAAATTTTTATCATGTGTAGTTTTTATTTGTATATTTATTTATTTTGGAGGGAACCTCCCCAAAATAAACACACTTCTGGATGTAGCACCAGTACTAGTGGCTACTAGTGCTTCCTTCACCCAGAAGCTCTCGTGAGACCAGATGGTACTGAAGATCAAACCCAGAGCACTGTGCGTGCTTGCAGACCCAGGGCCCTTTCAGCCATCTCCTTGACCCCATGTGTTGCTATTACAATATTTTTATAGGAATTTAAAAATATATATGGGTAGCTAACAGAATTTCTACTATGTAACCCCCTTTTCAGGTGTTTCTGCCCAGTTTTCCTTCATAGTCAAATGCTTTGGGAGCTGGTGCTGTTGGGGGAGCCCCTTGTGGTCATGGCACCATCACCGTCAGAGTCATCAGAGACTGTTCTGGCACTTGTTAAGTGAGTATATTCCGTTTCTTTGGCGATCTTTGCAGCACTTTCCTTGTCTGCGGATGTTTGCACATTCATTGCATTGAAACATAAATGTAACCCTGTAGGAAGGTGCTACCTATTATAGCACCATTTTATGTATGAGAAAATTAATTCACGCTCTTTGAGGGCTGGAGCCTCAATTTTGTTTTTTCTAAGCAGTGAGCACATTTGTAATCAAAGTTGGCTACTGGTATTAGTTGTGTGAATGGTCAGTGTTTAATAAAGGCATATTACTAGTCAGTGATAGGTTCAGACTTTTACCCCAACTTCTGCCCCAAGTTCGTTGTCTTTCAGTATTCTATTCCATATTCCATATTTTCATTTTTATTTAAAAGAGTACCATTTATTGAAACAAGTTATGCCTATGAGAGTGAATAGATGTTTTACAGTTATTGAGTAAGACTTTAATCTCTGTGTTCTTTGTTTTATACATTCTTCTTGCTCCACAGCTGTATATCTCCATTGAAGTACTTCAGTGATTTCCGACCTTACTTCACTATTCATGACAGTGAGTTCAAAGAATACACCACTCGTACACAAGCCCCGTGAGTAAACAATACTTTTTATTGACCGTTTTTTTCCTTATAACCAAAATTATGTAAAATTATTTTTGTTAATTTTTTTAAAGTTTAAATTTTGAACTTAATGGCAGTTTGATTTTGTAAAGGAAGTTTGAGATACTGCTGGTAAAAATTTCATTCTTCCAGAGTCATTTTGTTTGAGCCATTTTATTAATGGAAACTATATTGTCAGGGGCTGGAGCAATAGCACAGGGGGTATGGCGTTTGCCTTGCATGTGGCCGACCCGGGTTCAATTTCCAGCATCACTTATGGTCCCCTAAGCACTGCCAGGAGTAATTCCTGAGTGTAGAGCCAGGAATAACCCCTGTGCTTTGCCGGGTGTGACCCAAAAAGCAAAAAACAAAATAAAACAAAAAACTATATTGTCATTTGTCATTATAGCTATCTGACTGTACTTTGAATTCTTTTCTTCTTTGCCTTACTCTGTCTTACCACACCGGTGATCTCTTTATACTGTGACCTCCTTTTTCTTCATCCTTTGCATTGATTCAGTGTTTGAATATGAAAATTATTCCCAAACTGTGAAAGGAAAAAAATTACATTTTCTTTTTTAGGTCTTGCCCCATTAATCACCTTTTCATAGACAATTTTCTAGTATAACAACAAAAATTTTCTAGTATAACAACAAAAAAAACCATTTTTTGTCTTGGGTTTTGGTTTTCTCCTTGCTTCTCACACTACATCTTTTTCTCTACTACAGTTTGTTTTTGCTAATTCCTCAAGACTTTTCTCATTGCCTGAAACTTTTAATACATTATTGCCATATCTTTTCCTCCTATTTTAAGCTATTCTTCTTGGAAATATTTTCATTTTTATTTCATTAAACAAGTGGGGCATCTTCAGTTTCCTGTACAGATATTTCTTATTATTTTTCTGCCAAACCTTTAAATGTTGGTTTTCTCTAATATTGTGTTATGGGTTCTGATTTCAGGCTGGTACTTCTTTTATCTGTACTTCTGTTCAACTGTTAGCATAAATTGTGAATGAAATTTATCGTCCTAGTCCACATCTTTACAAAATTCAGATCAATACAGAACTTTTTTGGTGGGGGTGGGGAGGTGGTTTGGGGAGTGGCCACCAAGCAGGTTCCAAGGCATCAAGTTTTGCTGAATTCTGAGAATTCAGTATTCTAAAATATCTCCCATAAATTAGCTAATCATTTTTCCAAATCTGTTTTCTGAGACTTAAACTTCCAGTCTTTCTTCTATTGCTTTCCTTTCCTTATAGGATGTCTTTGAAATTCTGCGCTCCTCCCCCCTCCCCCAGAGTAATCTTTTTTTTTAAATTTTTTTTTATTGAACCACAGTGAGATATACAGTTGATTGGGTTTCAGTTATATAATGTTCTAACACCCATCCCTTCACCACTGTACATTTCCCACCATCAGTGTCCCCAGTTTCCCTCTTCTACCTACCTGCCCCACCTCCTGCCTGCCTCTGTGGCCACCACTTTTCTTCTTTCTCTCTTCTTCCTCTCGCTCTCTCTCCTTTCTCCTTCCTCTCTGTCTCTCTCCTTCCTCTCTCTCTCTCTCTCTCTCTCTCTCACACTCTCTCTCTGTCTCTCTCCTTCTAAGAAGTACATTCTCACTCATGTGGTATTCCTCTGCTTAGTTTTTTAGAAACTTCCTTTTGCCTACAAAATAACATCTGAACTTTTTGTTTGTTTGGTTTTGTGTTCTTTTTTCTTTTTAGAGTTTCTTATTTTTAATTGAATCACTATTCCTATTTTCCTATTTTCATGAATGATAATTGCTTTCCACTTAGTTATCAAAACATAAGATACACAGTTACAAAGTTGTTCTCTCTGAACTTCTTACATATTGGTACATAACTTGGTCCTTAATTATCTGGGAAGTGTCTTTCCATCTATTCTCATTTCAGATGATTCTTTCTACTATTTTGCTTTAAAAATACTGAACTGTATATAGTTGTACAAATTATTATTCTACGTTATTGCTTTGTGTGTACTATTTGTTTTCCCTCATGGTCTTTAATTCCTTTACCTTCTTAGGAATCCTAATTAGGAAATCTTTTATATCTTTATGCAAATAGATCTCGAGTGAAGCTCTTCACTTCGTATTTTATAGATATATGATTTCTTCTGTATCGTTATTGTACATTTTTATACCATCCTCATTGTTTCTAATTTCTGCCATCATTTCTGGCAATAGATGTATGTATATATGTGTGTGGTATGTATATATAAGTATACACATATGTATATATTTATGTATTTACCTGAATGCTTTTAGAAGAACTGTGTCTTTTCATCTTCTTATGCCTACTGCTAAACATGCCCTTCCCCCAAGGTATAGTAACTTTGTACTTCAAAACTATGAATTCAAAACTATCCTGTACTGATGGAAATTAATCTTTTTCTCATCCTATTTATGTTTTCTCTTTATATAGGCCCTCAGTCATATTAGGAGTAACCAACCCTTTTTTTGCCAAAACACTTCAACACTGGCCACACATTATTCGAATAGGAGACATTAAACCTGCAGGTAAAGTATAAACTTGGTGTCCTGCTTTTAAATATAATTTGATGGAGCAGGGTTATTTTCCCTTTTGTCACTTTAGTCATATTGATAGTAGTGTTCTTCAAGACAACATGAATAAGCATCTTTGGAGAAGAGCATAACTTTTCACTAAACAGATTCTTATGTGTATAACTCATTACATCATATTACAAAAATACAGTGTTACAAATATTGACTGAATCAAAATTTTGACAACAAAATAAGACCTCAAAAGGCTGGTACACACACACACACACACGGTTTAATTGGGTATATACCCTTTAAATTAGGATATGCCCCAATTAGAGGGGGATTTCCAAGACTGCTTGAAAAAAATCTTACAGAAGTTTTAAGTCATTCGAGGCTACAGCAATAGTACTGCGGGTGGGGCATTTGCCTTGCATGAGGCCAACCCTGGTATGATCCCTGGCACCCCCAAAAGGTCCCCCAACTCCTCCAGGAGAGATCCCTGAGTGCAGAGCCAGGAGTAAGCCCTTAGCATAGCTGAGGGTGGCCCAAAAATTAAAAAGAAGTTTTAAGTTACTCGGCTTGGCAGAAAATTTTTGGCAATATCTTAAAACAGTTATTACACATTTCTGTATCACTGGTAATAAGGAAGTAATCTAAAGATTGCAGGTTCTTTGAGGAAAAAACAGTATAGTTTTTGCTCATGGTAGCTGCTTAATAAGTTGTTTCCCCTTTTGTATTTTGGACCACACCCAGCAGTATTCAGTAGATGTTCTTGGCTGGTTGTTTGGGAGACCACGTGATGCCAGCAGTTGAACAAGGGCTTCCAAATGAGAAGCATATGATTTAGCCCTTTGAGCTATCTCCCCTTTCCAATAAATCTATTTTTGTTTTTGGGTGGTATCCAGTGCACATTGGGGCTACTCCCAGCTCTGTACATGGGGTCATTCCCAGCAGTGCCCAAGGGATGGTGCAGTGCCAGGAATTGAACCTGGCCCTCCTTGAGCTATCTCTCCAGCCCCACCATTTAAAAAAAAAAATTGCAGGGAGGGACACACATCTGAGTTCAGGGCTTGCTCCTGATTCTGTGCTCAGGGATCACTCTTGATGGTGCTTACATAAAATATTTTTAATGAGTAAATGATGGAAATATCATCAAGCTAGATGACAGTGGTATCTCTGACATTCCTGAATTTTTCATTGAATTGGTTGAACTGTTGAGATAACAAAAACATTTAATAACTATATTACTTTTAAAGACTTCTGTTACACACTGGAATATTAAAAAACATTATTTAACGATTCTGTTCTATTAGAAATATTACCTACTTTATACAAAAATCTGAAAAGACTTTAAGGAATAATATTTATTTATATTACTTATAGATCTTAAAGTCATTCTTACACTGAAGTCCTTCAAAGCAGAGGGCTTTACTTGGGCAGTTAGATTTATACCCTCTTAGGCAGAACAGACTCAGAACCTCCAATTCTTTTCTTGATGAAAGGATTAGACACGGTGACTGACTCATGACACTCTGTAAATGTCATGATCTGAACCCCTGCCATTGCATTAGTGATTACTAATGACATTTCAGAGCACAACTGTTACCAGAGCCTTAGCTATGAGTAGATATAAAAGTTGTGGGTTTTTTTTTTTCTTTTGCTTTTGGTTCAGTGATGCCAAGGACCAAATCCAGGCTCTCAGGCATGCAAAGCATGCATTCTATTACTGAGCCACATCCCCAGCCTGAAAAGACTTCTTTAAGCTTAACTTTGACATTTACTTATAAGGGTTCTTTCTGTTAATCTGGATTAACTAATATTATAAGTGGATTGCTGTTTGTCTTTTTCCGTTAAAAAAATCTGTTGTGATTTTGGTTTTTTTGCATAAAACCCATTAGTAAAGTTGCATGAATTAGAATGTCTATTTAACATTTTAAGAAACTATCCCAGTATTTCTCAAAGTAGTTTACTATTGTACGTACTTTTTGTTTGTTTGTTTGGGGGCCAAATCTGGCGGTGCTCAAGGCTCACTCCTGACTCTCTGTGCTCAGGGATCACTCCTGGCAGACTCAAGGGACTATATAGTGTGTTGGGGATTGAACCTGGTTGTCCATGTGCAAAACAAGGACCCTAGCTGCTAGTACATTCTTTTTTAATTGGGGGGGACTTCCCCAGTAGTGCTCATGAAGTTGGGTCTTGAAATTGCAAGGAGTATGTTCCACTCCGACGGATCATTACAGTTTAGGGGACTTTGTTTTGTTTTGTTTTTTTGCCACACTGGCAGTGCTCAGTGCTAACTCCTGGCTCTGCACTCAGGGATCACTCATGGCAGGATTCAGGGGACTGTGTGTGGTGTTAAGGATCCAATCCATGTTGGCCACATACAGGGCAGATGCCTTACCCACTGTACTATTGCTCTGACCCAGTCACTATAGTTTTTATAGTGTTTTGAAATCAGAAAGTGTAAGTCTTCCAACTTAGTCAAAAATCAATTTGGGGGCCAGAGAGGTAACATGGGTTATGGTGCTTGCCATCTTATGGCTGGATTCTGGTTCAATACCGAGCACCAAATGTGATTCCTTTTCACAGAACTAGGAATAAGCCAGATGTGAGGCAAAAGCCAAAAAAATTTTGTCTGTTCTGGATCTTAATATTTTTCATATAAGCTCTCGTATCACCTAGTCAATTTCTGCAAAAAAAAAAAAAAAAAAGGAAAACCGGCTAAAACTTTTTTGGGGGAGAGGGCTCCACACCAACAGAACTCAGGCTCTACTTCCCCCAGCTTTGTGCTTAAGATGAGACTTGGGGGATCAAATGTACTGAAGATCTAATCTGGATTGGCCACATATAAGGCAATTACCCTACCTACTATACTGTCTTTCCACACCAGGCTACTGATATTTTGATAGGGGTTTATTGAATGTTTACATCATTCATCTTCTGGCCCTCTTAGCATGCTATTTCTGTCTTTTTAGTGTAGCCAACCCAGGTTAGATGCCCAGCATTCCATATGGGCCCGAGTATCACCGGGAGTAATTCCTGAGAGCAGAGCCAGGAGTAACCCCTGAGTATTGCCAGGTGTGGCCCAAAAGCCAGAAAAAAACAAAAAGCTCTCTGTTTCTATAATTCCATACCTGTGATAACTGCAGTTAGCAATCTGATCTTCGAAATGATCTAAGCAAAAATATTTTGAGTCTTGATTTTCTAATTTCTAGATTGTATTTCTGCTCTTAGGTTCCTTTATGCTGGGAGAGGGTGGAGGAAGAAAGAAAAATAAAATCTTGAATATGTGTAATATGCTTCTGATTGTGTGTGCGTGTGTGTATGAGAAGCAAGGCAGTTTTCATTGAAAGTTTAGAAAGTTGTGAGGGGAGAGAGGAAGTACATGTTCACATCAGAGAGAACACGGACTTCTCCTTGAGTTGGTGTTGAAAATTTGTATGCCTGAGACCTAATGATGAGTAACTTTGTAATTTCACGTGACAAAATTACAAAAGGGAAAATACCTTCTTGAAAAACCAGCTGACGCTTCTAGATCTTTATCTTGAGGTATTTTTCTGCTAATAGAAATGGTTGTTTGCCTCACTCCACCTCAAGACCAAGACATGTACATGCTACAGAAGTTCTTGGTGGGGGTTAGAATTCGAAGGACTGAGCATATCGTTTGCAACCGGAGGGGCATGGGTTTACTCCCCAGTACCACATGCTTCCCAGAGCACTGTCAGGAGTGACCCTTGGAGCACTGAGCCTAGAGTTGTCCCTGAGCACTGAACTGACAGGTGTGTGTTTACTTCCCCCACCCCAAACACCAAAAAAAGGAAAGAAGGAAAAGTTATTCAGAACCCTGGCCCTCTCCAGGTCAGGTCAGAGACCATGGCATACACTGTCACCACCTAGTGGCAGTGGGAGCTTCTGCAGGTAAAATCCAATTTTGAGAGGTACCAGGGAAAAAGCCTTTAAATTGGAGTTGCTTTCAATTCTTGGAGGATATTTGGTATTTTATTCATATCTGCCGTATAAAATTTCAATTTCTTGTATATAACAAGTATTTTAAATTGTATGTTGAGACATAAGGGAGAATTTAAGTCAACAGTATTAATAAAAGATGAAATACCCATTTTATGAAATTTGCACAAATTCTTCTGACAATGCTGTAAGAATCCAGTTTCCCTCTATTCAGTTTTTTTTTTTGTTAGGGGCCATTTTGGGTGCTAAGGTCTTACTCTTGGCTCTGTGTACAGAGATCACTCTTGGTCATGCTCTGGGGACTTACGGAGTGCTGGCGATCAAATACTTGGGTCAGCTATGTGCAGGGCAAGCAGCCTACTACAGAACTATCTCTGCAGTTCCCCTTATATAATATTTTAGGGGGGTATTTGGGCCACACCAACTTATCCTCAGGGGCTACCCCCAGCCCTGGATTCAAGGGTCACTCCCAGTGATTGCTCAGGGAACAGTGCAGTGCCAGGAATCCAACCTGGATCTGCCACATGCGAGGCAAGCACCTTGACCCCTGTTTTATCTCTCCAGCCTCCCCTTTCTTTAGTTCAAAAGCAGGAAGAAACTCTTAAATGTTAATTGATGTTGATAATACTTTAGTCAACATTTGATTTCTGCTCGGTGGTTCTTGGCAGTGTTCAGAGTGTGCTACTAGTTCTTTGCTCAGGAATCAGTCCTGGAAGTGCTCCGGGAACTGTATGTGATGCTGGGGATTGAATGCAGGCAGTCTTTGTGCAAGGCAAATGCTTTACCCACTGACCTATCACTTAAAGCGATAGCACAGCGGTAAGGCGTTTGCCTTGCACGCAGCCAACATGGCTGACCCAAGTTCGATTCCTCCGCCCCTCTCGGAGAGCCCGGCAAGCTACCGAGAGTATCTCGCCCCCACGGCAGAGCCTGGCAAGCTCCCCGTGACGTATTCGATATGACAGACACAGTAACAACAAAGTCTCCAATGGAGACGTTACTCGTTACTGGGCCCGCTCGAGCAAATCGATGAACAACGGGAGGGCCTTTGGGCCACACCTCGTGGTGTTCTGGGGCTGCTCCTGGTGGTGCTTGGGGGACTCTGCAGTGCCAGGGATAGAAAGATCCTCATCCTCTTGCATGCAGAACATGAGTTATCTGCTATCGAACCCACTGAGTTATCTGCCTGGCCCTTATGTTAAAATTTACACTGCAACATCCCTTAAGTAATAAAGCCAACAGATTATTCTTTTTTTTAAAAAAATTATTTTTGTTTTTGGGTCACACTGGCAATGCACAGGGGTTAGTCCTGGCTTTGCACTCAGGAATTACCCCTGGCGGTGCTCAGGTGACCATATGGGGTGCTGGGAATCGAACCCGCGTCAAACGCAGGCAAGGCTAAACGCTCTACCTGCTGTGTTATTGCTCCAGCCCCGCCAATAGATTATTCTTATAAAATCTTAGTTTTTATAAGACAAAGTATGAAATTTGAATAATTTTACGGATCTTTATGTTTCCTTCAGGTGAAATTCCTAAGCAGGTTAAAGTGAAAAAATTGAAGAACCTGAAGACATTGGATTCTAAACCTGGTACTGACTTTTATTAATTTTTAAATATATACTTATAGGGTACTTGTAAGTACCTACTGTTTACCTTATTTCTTTTCTTCTTAGGAGTTTATACTTCTTATAAGCCGTACCTAAGTAGAGATGAAGAGATCATAAAACAGTTACAGAAGGTAATTACTTATATTAATTAAAATATTCCTGGTATGCCATATCCAGTTAGATGACCTGTACTTCATCATAATATAAAGTAAGCCCTCTCTTTTGGACCCAAAGTTCATAATGATTAGGTTCAGAAAAATAGTGCAGGAGCTTAGAGGACCTGCTCCGTGCCTGTGATGGTGAGTTCAGATCTCCGGTGCCCCACACGCACTGGGCACAGTCCTCACAGCTCAGCTATCTATGTTCCCTGGAGCCACAAACATTTCTGGCTGTATTGCAGCTAGGTGTGTGTAAGCCCCACAGAGCAAAGGTGAGCCCCTCACACCGAATTACATGTGTAAGCACTGCAGCTTGAGGAGGCAGATCTCAGTGGTCTCCACAGCTAAGTGTCTGAGCACTTCCTGAAGCGTGACCCAAACTCCAACACTCACAGCCAGGCTTGTGTAGATTGTAACAGCAACATCAATAACAGTATCTAGGACAGGGGAAGAGGAAAAGGATTAAAAAGAAACAAACTGCTTCTTTAAGTTCTAGGGTTTTTTTTTGTTGTTGTTGTTGGGCCATACCCTGGTGCTCAGAGGGAACGTATGTGGTGCTAGAGATTTGGACCTGGGATCACAACCAATGAAGTTGTATGCAAGGCAAGCCCTATACCTCTTGTACCTTGCCAGCCATACATTTTTGTTTTATTTCCTTTGAGGGATTTTTCCCCCCTTTGGTTTTCAGTTCTTGGCTACACTCTGCGGTGCTCAGGCTTTGGCTCTGTGCCAGAGATCACTCCTGATGGGGATCAGGGACCCAAATACAGTGCCAGGGCTCTAACCTGGGTTGAACCCAGGTTGGTAGCATACAATCCACGTGTTTTAACCTCTGTACTCTCTAGCAGTAAAAATATATATTTACATATCAGTTGAACTTTATAATTGTCCATTGTTTTATATGCCCTATCACTAGAATATAAATTCTCATTATTTCCTCTTTCAAGGGTGTACAACAGAAGCGTCCTTCTGAGGCTCAAAGCGTTATTCTCCGACGCTATTTTTTGGAACTAACACAAAGTTTCATCATTCCACTAGTAAGTTAACGTATTTTTGGTTAATTTAATGATTTGTTAAAGGGTTATGAATATTTTCCCATCCAAAGCCTAATTTTAAATTGTTTGGCCTGTTGTATTAAATATTTGTTAAACAACTTTTAGTGTTGCTGTGAAACTTATTTTGTGAACCTTACACTATCCTTGTGAAATAATATTTTTGTATTTTGTACTTTTAAAAAAAGTTATGCAGGGGCTAGAACGATAGCACAGCGGGTAGGGCGTTTTCCTTGCACATAGCCAACCTGGGTTCGATTCCCAGCATCCCATATGGTCCCCCGAGCACCTCCAGGAGTGATTCCTGAGTGCATGAGCCAGGAGTAACCCCTGTGCATTATCGGGTGTGACTCGAAAAGCAAAGAAAAAAAAAGTTATGCTGGAGCTTTTATTTCTGGTATTTTATTTTGGCTTATTATACCTCTATAGTGGTAAAGGCCTTAACTATCATATTTACTATCTTTTTCTCAGTCTGATATATGATAGCATTTAATAAAATATAGTTATTCACTTAACTCAGTAGGATGACATATTTAAAATACTAAAAGATGCTTGACAGTATTTACACGGTGATGTGGTTTAAAACTGGAGTGTAAATTAGAGAGGTAAAGGTAAAGGTAAAGGCCCTCCCGTTGTTCATCGATTTGCTCGAGCGGGCCCAGTAGCGTCTCCATTGGAGACTTTGTTGTTACTGTGTCTGGCATATCGAATACTCTCGGTAGCTTGCCGGGCTCTCCGAGAGGGGCGGAGGAATCGAACTCGGGTTGGCCATGTTGGACGCTTGTAAGGCGAACGCCCTACCGCTGTGCTAAATTAGAGAGGATTACCTGTAATTACCAGTGAAATATGATTTCTCAGAATATTACATGGGGGCAACCTTAGAAATCTTGGATACTATGCTTTGGGGAAGAAAGTCTTTTTCTTGGTTTGTGAATATCAATTAATTATTTCACTTTTAAATCTGTTTAAGTATAGGTACCGGAATGATAGTCAGTTGGTAGGGTGCTTACCTTGCACGAAGCAGACCCAAGTGTGATCCCTGGCATCGCATATGGTCCCCTGAGCCTCACCTGAGCACAGAGCCAGGAGTAAGCCCTGAGCACCTCCAGGTGTGGCCCAGTCCTCCCCAAAATCTGTGTAGTATGTGAACACATGGGCTGAAGACAAATAGATCTGAATTCAAGTTCAAAGTATGTGACATCAGCAAAGTCTTTTGAAGCCTATTTCCCCAATGATACCATCACATAGACGATATATTTAAAGGGGTAGAATGGTAGTTGTGGAGCAATAGTACAGTGGGTAAGGCTTTGCATGTAGCCTACCAGGGTTCAATCCCTGGCACCCCATATGGTTCCCTGATCCCCCAGGAATAATTCCTGAGTACAGATTTAGGCGTATGCTCTGAGCAGCCAGGTGCGACTTAAAAGCAATCAAAAAAAAATCAGGATTGTAAGATGTTGAATATATTTCCTGGCAGTTCAGGAAGTTTTATTATTAATCATAAAAATAGATGTAGTCTTCTGAATTAGCTTAAGATTTAGTTCAACTTTTTTTATTGAAAATATGACTTCTCGGTTCACCCTAAACTTTCATTATCTCTTTTATTGGGGGTGATGACATAACTGATGTCCATTGAAAGAGTATAGGATGAAAAAGTTGGAAACCCATTTCTTTGAAGTAGGTCTGTTAAATATTTTTTAGTATTCTCTTGGTAAGGACATTAACTAAGATTAACATTTCTTTTCTTGGTTTTAGGAAAGATATGTGGCAGGCTTGATGCCTTTAAAGAAAAGTATTTCTCCATGGAAGGTATATTTATGAGTAAATAAATTCCCGCTGGAGTTCTTTAACTGTAATCAACTTATGTGAATTATCCATTTCTAATTTTCAAATGTAGTACGTACTATTTTCTAGAGTCCACCTCAGTTAAGACAGTTCCTTTCAGAAGAATTTATGAAAACACTTGAGAAAACAGGACCTCAGCTGACTTCTAGGATAAAAGGGGATTGGATCGGGCTTTACCGGTTAGTCTTGTTTCTCTTTTTCACCTCTTGAACTTTACTTAAAAATAACATGGGACTGGGGCAATAGCTCAGGTGGCAGAACCCAGGGCATGTGTGAGACCCGAAGTTCAATCCCTGACCCCGCATAGCTCCCCAGAGTCTCTGATTGTAACCTTGGTTGCTCCAAGTACCAGCAAGCAATACCTGCCCAAGGACTGAACTGTCAGACCTGCACTGCCCGGCGTGACCTCTGTAAAAATAAAGGCATAAAGCAAAGGGAGCTAGAGTTGTGGCTCAGAGATGGAGCGCATGCCTCTTATGCATAGAGGCCCTGGGTTCAGTCCCCAGCCATGTATACACACACAGACACACACACAGAGTGTTTGTCATATATACATCCATATATGTATATATATAGAAGCATACAAGATGTGTATATATACATATATATACACACACATATGCATATATATGTACATCTATATACACACACATACATACCCACTATATATAAAGTAAAATGAAAATCTGGACATAGACATACTTTTTAAATATTTATGTAGTTCACTGCAATAATTAGAAGTTATAGGGGAGCAGATATAATTGAGATCCAACTTTGCTTTTTAAATTTTTACTTCTATAGGCATTTTCTAAAATCTCCAAATTTTGATGGCTGGTTTAAGACCCGGCGGAAGGAAATGACTCAGAAATTGGAGGCACTGCATCTCGAAGCTCTTTGTGAAGAGGTTAGAAAAGATTTTGTGATGAGTAACAAGTATTGAAAGTAAACATAGTCATCTTCAGAGTCTGGGATGTAATTGCTATAGTTACTACTTTATAAGAAATAACGTCTCTGGATCTGTTCATTGTGCTAACGTGCATTATATGAATGATAGATGTTTTATTGTTGTTTCTTTATATATACGAATGATGCTTTTTTGTTGTTGTTTTGGGGCCACACCAGAGGTGCTCACACCATACCAGAGGTTAGGCTTACCCTGCTATTATCTGCTCTGGGGATCACTCTTTTTTTTTAATTGAATTACCATGAGATAGTTACAAGCTTTCATGTTTGGGTTACAATCACACAATGATCAAACACCCATCCCTCCACCAGTGCACATTCCCACCACCAACATCCCCAGTATACACCCCCGCCACCTTTCCCACCCTCCCCCTGGCTCCATGGCAGACAATATTCCCCATACTCTCTCTGTATTTTGGGGCGTTATGGTTTGCCATGCAGATACTGAGAGGTTATCGTGTTTGATCCATTATCCACTTTCTGTGGTCCTGAGAACTGAACCCAGGTAGAGTGTGTGCAAGGCAAGCACCCTACCTGTTGTACGGTCTCTTCGAACTTTGCATGATGGATTTTAATCTTGACTGGTTACTGAATTAAATAAATGTATACGACCTGTGTAATGGATACCTGACACAAGTTAATTAATCTCTAAGTAGTAGAGCTAGCAGTGTGTTCAAAGTTCGCTCTGGGGGCTGGAGCGATAGCACAGCGGGTAGGGCGTTTGCCTTGCACGCGGCCAACACGGGTTCAATTCCCAGCATCCCATATGGTCCCCTGAGCAATGCCAGGAGTGATTCCTGAGTGCATGAGCCAGGAGTGACCCCTGTGCACTGCTGGGTGTGACACCCCCCCCAAAAAAAAAAGAGAAAGGTTTGCTCTGTCTCTAGGGCTTTGCTCATTTCTTTCTATCGTTGCAATCAGTGATCTCAGGTTGCTAGTTTGCCATTGACTACAGTGGGGTATTATACCACAGAAATTGGAAAGTGCTACTTTTCCTGGAGAATCTGTTAGTATATACAGACATCCTACTAGAATAGAATGAAGATTCAACTTCAGGCAGTCTTAACTACAGATTTGATCAGCATATCTTACTCACCTTCTAAATTTCTATTAACATTGCCTTGAATTTGAACTGACTTTGTCAATATGCTGTGATGTGTTTTCATACTACTATGAATCAGACCACTTGCTGGAGAGATAGTACAGAGGTAGTCAAGAGGAATACTCTAAGTACCTTCTGGTGTTGCCCAGTACATATATACATACATATATATATATGTTAAAGATAGTTTCGTTTTCATTTGTATTTAGCTTGAGGTGGGCTAGCCTCAGTGTTAACTTTCAAAACTCCGTGACTGATTTTGAAAGAAGAAATAAAAACGCAACTACAAATGAGTACATAAAGAGCTTGAAGGTACAAAGCGGACATTCAAGTATTTACTTTTGTTCAGCTATTTTGATTTGTTAGCTAATGTTTCTTATAATTAAAATACAGTTTTGGAGGGCTGAATAGATAGTACTGTGGGTATAGCCCTGCCTTGCTCATAGCCAAATTGAGTTTGATTCTCAGTACCCCATATGGTCCCCAAACCCACCAGGAGTTGATTCTTTGAGTGCAGAGCCAAAAGCAGCCTCTAAGCATTGCCAGGTGTGGTGTCCCTTCCGCCAAAAGAAAAAAATAAAGTATGCTTGTGGGGTGAGGGTTAGTATTGTACAGATAGTTTTGTTTTTCTTAATTAACAGGAACTTTTTACATTTTCCCCCAAATATTAGACAACCATTCAGGCTTATATTTAATTGATGCTGTTAAAATATCATGTACCCCAAAAATTGTGTACTGAATTGTTTTTGTGCTATAATGCTATGTTTGTGTTTAATACACTCTTTCCAATCCATCCTTTCCAATAGTCTATCCTAATGAAGTAGAGGGGTTTGACTATTATTTTGATTATTTACTGATTGTGGATTTGTCTGTTTTTTTAGGACTTGCTTCTCTGGACCCAGAAACATACAGAAGTAGAAACAGTGGACCTTGTATTGAAGCTAAAAAATAAACTGGTATGTGACCAAGACAAACATTAAATTGACTTTCCTATTACGATCTTTTCCTTTGAGGCGAGAAGAATGTATAATAGACTTCCTTTGTTTTCCACTTGGAAGGATGGTGGGGTCACAAATAATACGCATGCCTTAGAATGGTGTGTACACCAGGTTTACACATGGCAATGCATGGGTGTGTCATCGTCAGCATGGGTGCTGATGATCAAATGTGAATTTACAGAGGAACCCATTGTGCTTGTATTTAAAAATACATGGTATGTGTAGGCATTATTACATAGAAGTATTTGGGGGGACAGGGGGTGCTGTGTGAGGATAGACCTGATGGTGCTTGGGGGACGCTCCTGACTCTGCTCCTAGAGGTTCTCAGGGGACCAGAAGTGCTCAGGATCAAATCTGGGAAGAATGCATGCAAGGAAAGCACCTCACTTCTTGTACTGTCTCTCAGGCCCATATCTGGAAGCTTTATTGAGCTCAGCAGTGTTGTGTTTAAATGGCATGATTTTTTGCTTTTCCTCAGCTTCTGTAAGTTCTGGTCCAATCATTTGTTTCTAGATGAATACTTCCAAATGTTTCTTATTTAGTTGCAGGCGAATCGAGATCACTTACCTGTGAAACCTGACACCCTGGAAAAGTTACGGACACACATAGATGCAATTATCTTAGCATTACCGGAGGACTTACAAGGAATACTGCTCAAAACAGCCATGACTTGATAATTCCCGGATTTTCCAACCATAAAGGACTGTACACCAATGAAGGATACTGACATTTCAACAAGATGCAAACATGGCGGTCTCTTAGAGTGAAAAATAGCCGTGAATCCTAGACACAGGATGGAAAGACTATATTGTATATACAGACATTTTTAGTGCATTATTTTTTAAAATGTGTATCTGTGGTGACTCCACTCTAATTCTGAAACACCGAAAGGGATTTTGTATATTTTTAATCATGTTCTAAAGTGCTCTTATGGGAGACCTGTGGGGCCATCAATATACGTGATTCCAAGCTGCAGTGCTGGCATTGCAGATATATTTTTTAAATTGGTGCTGCTTTGCCCAATCATGTTAAACCTCAGGGTGATATAAAAATAGCATTCACACTGGCTGTCTTCTGAAGAAGGGAAAGACTGAACTGTCTGACTACAGTTATAGAAGTAGTTGATGCTTTTGTAGTGCCTTCCGTTGCCCTACATGTTTCACAGATGCAGCTGCTAGTCTTGGAGCTTTTTAACTTGATTATGACATGTAATCTTATGACATTCTTATGAGTAATCATTGCTTAAAAACACCATTAACACTCATTATGTCTATTAGTATGGTGCTTTCTTTTCTATTGTCATATAGGTTTTATTTCATTATTTTCTGGATCATTTTCATATTTAATCCTACCAGTTTTAAGAAGGAAGGCATTTAGTATTAATTATGAGTTTATACTAATTGGGCCTATTTTAATTAATGTGGATATTTTTCAAGACATTCTGCTTGTTAACCTCAGAATCAGCTATTTTAAAAACTGAACTGTTCTTATTTTAAAAACAATTGATACTATAATCATTTGAAGATAGGATTGATTTCAAATATTGTTTTTTTGAGTAGGGGATTTTCCCCTAAAGTTTTTCTCAAAACACTTTGCTATTGTTTGACATGGGAATTTTTTGCCTGAATCACTGTTATAACTAGTTTGTGTGGTAGTTACTGTGTTTGTCTTTGTTTTATTTAAACTATATACTACTTTGCCAAAAATAGAGGACTGTGGTTTGGTTGAGCAAGGCTATTGGGTTTAGGCTTGAATCAGTGTCCTGCAGAAACCACTGTATAAATAGTCACACATGATAGAGCACACATGTAAATAGCTGTGTCTTGAATCACCCTCCAAGTAACCAAATCTAGTTCGAATTTGTCAGAGATATGGCTTTCAGAATCCCTCTCTCATTTTTCTGTTAATATAACCTTTAAGGGCATTCCTGACCCAAGAAAAACTCCTTGTGTTTTTGACTGTGGTCTTATACCCAAATGTTCCCTTATTTTTTATGTTTGATTTTTTTTTTATATGAATATAGTCTCTTGAAGCATACCTCAAAGTCATAGAATAGAGCATTTGAAAGAAATCTTTGCCTTGGATCATGAGTTACTTTGTGAAGCAGCAGAGTTGTCCCAATGGAAAAGAGACAGCTACTTTTATATGATAAAGTATTTCATATCTCTCTGGGAAACCATATTTAGATATAAATGGTCATCTTATTATTTTTTTAAAAGGTGTATTTTAATAATCTTACAATTTATATGCAGTTTGTGACCGGAATTTGAAAGTTGTTAGTGTCATATCAAGGATATTTTCAATTATACCACTACAGGAAGTATTAATTTCAGTTTTATTATGCACTGCTAAAGGTAGCAAAGATGACAGTTTAATAATAGTATCTTCATATTTACTGTCTTTAACTAAAACCTAACACATACTAGAGCCAGAGAGATAGTACAGTGGTTAAGGCTTTAGCTTTGCACACAGCCAATCCTGGTTCAATCTGTGGCACTACATATGGTCCCCTGAGCATAGAGCCAGGAGTAACCCTGAGCACTGCCAGGTGTGGCGCACACACACACACACCCAGACGCACACCCCCTGACCCATGTTGAAAATGATTTCATACTTACACACACATACACACACACACACCCTGACCCATATTGAAAACCATTTCATACTTCCCCAACTTAATAATTTCAAATTATGTACTGAAAAAAGGTAACTTAAAATTTTTTTGGAAACCTGAGAAAGTATGACTGGTAATGTTTTTATGTGATTTTCAGAGTTTTCTCTCTCCCCCCCTTTTTTCTTTTGAGATCTGTTAAAACCTGCCACTTAATGTTTATCTCCACCAGCATCAGAAGGAATCACTGCTTTCAGGGTATAATGTAATGTCTACTGCCTTCTGTTTTCAGTGAAAAGAGGTTTTGTGAAGGCATTTATGGTCATTACCAAAAATTGAATTAAAGGCCTTGGATTTTAAAGCTTTCAGATATCTTGTTATATTTAAAGAGGATTAGAATGCTGTGGGGGTTTGGGGGGAGGGGGCGTGTGGTAAATGAATTTTTGCTTACAGAATTCCACTTCCAACTTCTTAATTTAATTGCAAATCTTTCTCTACATGCTTTACTATGAATAGATGAATACCTAAGTTTAGTACCAGAACACTGAAATTGATTTCATATGCTTCTTAACAGTGTATAAATTTTTATAATTTTTTTAAATTAGTCTAGGAATTGGTGGGCTGGAGCGACAGCACAGCAGGTAGGATGTTTGCGTTGCAAGCGTCCAACATGGCAGACCCGAGTTCGATTCCTCCGCCCCTCTCTTAGAGCCTGGCAAGCTACCGTGAGTATTTCGCCTGCACGGCAAAGCCTGGCAAGCTACCTGTGATGTATGGGTAGCCAATATATATTTTGATATGCCAAACACAGTAACAATTGTCACAATGGAGACGTTACTGGGCCCGCTCCAGCAAATCGATGAACAATGGGAGGACAGTGACAGTGGTTCACACATGGTGTTGCACAGGGGTTACTCCTGGCTTATGCACTCAGGAATTACTCCTGGCGGTGCTCGGGGGACCATATGGGATACTGCAAATCGACCCCAGGTTGGCCTTGTACAAGGCAAACGCCCTACCTGCTGTGCTATCGCTCCAGCCCTTGGAATTTCAAATGATTGAGACTGGAGAGATAGTACAGTGGGTAGGTCGCTTGCCTTGCATGTGGCTAACCTGGGTTCAACCCCTAGCACCCAATATGGTCCCGTTAGTACAGCCAGGGCACTACTACTGGGTAAGGCCCAAAAATCAAAAACAACTTTTTCAAATTATTTCTCTTCATGAAGGTGATAGTTGTATGATACTGTTGTTTAGATATTAATTTATTCATTACAAACATTGAGGGGGCTTAAGAAATAGCACAGAGGGTCGGGGACTTACTTGCCTTGCACATGGCTGACCCAGGTTTGATCCCCAGCATCTCATACGGTCTCCTGAACACCAACAGGAACAAATCCTGAGCACATAATGCAAAGCCATGAGTAACTCCGGAGCATCACTGGGTGTGTCCATCTGCCCCCCCCCCCAAAAAAAACCAAACATACTGAGTACTATCCTTTTTGCAGGTATTGAGTAATATCCTTCAACAAATAGTATAAATTGTTCCAGTTCATTTCAGTGATAACATTGAAATTTGTCCTTATTTTTCTATTTATCACTTTATTTTTAAATACCAAATTTCACATTCTTTTTCTATTATTTATTTGGCTTGGAGGCCACACCCAGAGGTGCTCATGGCTTACTTCTGGCTCTACACTTAGGGATCACTCCTAGTGGAAATCGGGGACCATGTTGGATGCCAGTGGCTAATCCGGGGTTGGTGAGCAAGGCAGGTGTTTCACAAGCTGTACTATCTCTCCAGCCCCGTTGGGGGAAATTAAAATAGATTTCTAATATTAATCTCTAAAAACAGTTGAAGAAGACAAACAGTTTCTCTAATTATGAATAAATAACATTTAAAACGTTGAGAGAAAGGCCAGAATGATAGTACAATGGCTAGGGTGTTTGCCCTGCATGCAGCAAACCTGGGTTTGAGCTCTGGCATCCCATATGGTCCCCCAAGCCTGCAAAGAGTGATCACTGAGCACAGGGCCAGAAAAAGGCCCTGAGCACTGCTGTGTGTGGTGTGTGGTCCCCTGTGTAAACCCCGCACTCTTGGGCTGTGAAAACCCCTCACGCACAGAGCTGTGTAAACTCCTTCACTCGGGGATTATACACTAAAGGATGTTTGCAGGCTCTCTGCGTGGCTCTCTCTCGCCGCCCACGTTCGGTGCTCTCGAGCAGCTTCCCCACCCAGGATGGCTGTTGCCTTGGATGGACAAAGGAGGGCCGAGCTGGTTGCTGATTAGTTGCTGTTTATTCAATCTCTTGTCTCTCCCAGCTCTAACCAATCCTCTCTCTAACTCGCTCTACAACGTTCTCTGTGACTCCTCTCCAATCTTCCCAGCCACTCTTTTTTTTTTAAAATTTTATTGAATCACCGCACACTACCTCCACTACCTCCTCTACCCAGCCACCGCCATGCTCCAGGACCCTTTCCGGACGCTTGGGCCGAGATTCACGCATGACTGAAGCCCCACAGAACAAGATAAGCGGAACTCTGAGACCTTAGACTCCAGGCTCAACAGATCCGGGGACAGAGATTCTCTGCTTGCTCCCACCAAACCACAGGGATTAAAACCAGGAGCCCCACCCTACCCTGCCCTACCGCACAGGCGCGTGACACATTATAAGACACTTAATACCCATCTTCCAGAATTGCCGCACCGTATTTGATAGGGTTCAAATATGGTTTGAACCATGGGAACACCTACAAGGGCAATTAGAGGCCTCCCTAAAAGCCTTTATCCCTCTCAGAGAGCCTGGCAAGCTACTGAGAGTATTCTGCCCACATGGCAGAGCCTCGCAAGCTATCTGTTGTATATTTGATATACCAAAACCAGTAATTACAATGCGTTTCATTCCCCTGGGCTGGAGCGATAGCACAGCGGTAGGACATTTACCTTGCACGCGGCTGGCCCGGCCAAGCTGGGTTCGATTCCTCCATCCCTCTCGGAGAGCCAGGCAAGCTTACTGAGAGTATCTCGCCCGCACGGCAAAGCCTGGCAAGCTACCCGTGACATATTCAACATGCCAAACACAGTAACAGCAAGTCTCGAAATGGAGATGTTCCTGGGCCCGCTCGAGCAAATTGATGAACAACAGGAAGACAGTGCTACAGTGCTCATTCCCCTGACCCTGAAGGCATCACCAATATGGTGGCAGCGTTGAGAAGGATGAGGAAGGAGAGGTTGATAAAATCTCAAGGCCAAACTAGGCTGTCAAAATAAAGGAAGACAAAAATGATTGTACTTTCAATGCACGTATGCTAGCAAGCACGTGACAGGGACAAATGGAGACGTTACTGGTGCCTGCTCAAGCAAATCGACGATTAACAGGAAGTCAAGTGATCAAGTGATTGAATCACCACGAGATAGTTACAAGCTTTCACGTTTGGGTTACAATCACACAATGATCAAACACCCATCCCTCCACCAGCGCACATTTCCCACCACCAATATTCCCAGTATCCTCCCCCTTCCCCACCCTCCCCCTGCCTCCATGGCAGACAATATTCCCCATACTCTCTCTCTACTTTTGGGCATTATGTTTTGCAATACAGACACTGAGACCATTATCTATTTTCAGCACACATCTCCCATCCTGACCTGTTCCTCAAGCCATCATTTTCTTAGTGATCCCTTCTTTATTCTGCTGCCTTTTCCCGTTTGCTCATGAGGCAGGCTTCCAGCTATGAAGCGATCTTCCTGCCCCATGTATCTACTATCCTTAGGTGTCAGCCTCATGTTATGTTGTTTTATACTCCACAAATGAGTGCTGTCCTTCTATGTCTGTCCCTCTCTTTTCTGGCTCATAATCATTTAGCATGATACTCTTCGTGTGTATCCAATTATAAGCAAAGTTTATGACTTCATTTCTCCTGACAGCTGCATAGTATTCCATTGTGTAGATGTACCAAAGTTTCTTTAACCAGCCACCTGTTCTAAGGCACTTGGGTTGTTTCCAGATGTTGGCTATTGTGAACAGTGCTGCAGTGAACAAAAAGCAACCAGTGCTGGTGTGGATGTGGGGGAAAAGGGACGCTTTTTCACTGTTGGTGGGAATGCCCACTAGTCCAGCATTTCTGGAAAACAATATGGACAGTCCTTCAAAAACTAGAAATTGAGCTTCCATATGACCCTGCAATACCACTTCTGGGAATATATCCTGAGGATGCAAAAAGAGCACAGTAGAAATGACAACCCCAGCCACTCTTACTCTCAGCTCTCAGCCTTCTCTCTCTAACTCGCAACCTTCTCCTCTAACTCTGTCCCTTCCCTCCGTCACCTTCAGTTCCCTCAACCGCTCTTTTTCTTCTCTCACCACACCTCCCCAGCCACGTCTCCCCACGGGAAGCACAATCAAAATGTTCCAGCCTTCCCGACCACCTGCAGCCCATGAGGGCAAAACAGCCCTTAAGGTGTGTTTCTTCTCTCCTTAGACCTGCAGCTTGATTAACATCTTTAATTCTACTTCCTAATATTTAACCATTCTGTATCGACACAATGATAGACACTTTTAGGCTTGTAGAGTGACTCCTGGGGACATCTCACAACAGACTCAGACTACAGTGCTCAGGTCGGATTAATCATTCCTACCCCATCAGGGTCCAAATCAAGTTACTGCTTTTTGGACCTTGACAGAAGCTGTCCATGACCAAGCTCTTAACTTATAGTTAAGCATTAGGGCACTTTGGCCAGGCCCATTTTGATGTCAGGGTGGCTCAGAGCTCACCGCTTGCCCTGGGTTCATCTAGTCCCTTGTCAGGACCCTGCTTTTAGGGATGTAGGAAGTAACGGCAACTGAGGCTTAAGAGAGCAGATGTCCAGGAAGTAATATTATCTGGAGTCAACCAACTCCCAAGCCATAGGCTTGTCTTTTTTTTTTGTTTTTGTTTTTCCATTTTTTATAATTTTATTTATTGAATCACCATGAGAGCAGTTACAAAGCTTTTGGGTCCAAGTCTCGGTCATACAATGAAACACCCGTACCTTCACCAGTGCCCATTCTCCACCACCAAAAACCCCAGTATACCCCCATCCCACACCCTCCCCCTGCCTGTGGGGCAGATGATTTCCACATTACTCTCTCTCTACTTTGATCACATTCAATATTTTGACACCAGACCCACCATTATTTGAGATTTTACCCCAACACTCAGATCTGCTGAAAAGGCAACAATAGACAATTTGTTTTCTATTGCTGGTTATGAATAACATATTTGTGTGGCTGCAATAGGGCCATGTGGTTTTGAAATTCCGAAATTTTAACACTTAAATCTGGAGGGATTTCTGCCAAAAGTCACTGGGTTTAGAGATCTGC